TAGAGTACCATTAGAAATCTGAGAGCACTGGATAGCTGTTTCGTCGTGAAATGAGAGTCATCAGAAGTGTACATCCGGAAATCTCGCTAATCACTAGATTCGAACCCAAAACCTTCAGTCTTGCACGTGAATACCTAACCTCTAGACCATTGAAATGGCCCTCATCCAATGCTGTCAATGTATAACCTCAATCGATGCGCGATTTTGACGCTCATTTCGCCGGCTCATTTGATCGAATGATCGTTTGACTTTTTTTCATAGAAAAATATAGTAATAATAGTAGAATTTGCATTACGGGGTTGTGAAGATTGTTAAGTTACACAGTTTTTGAAACCATGAATCGATCAATGTTAGACCACCAAAAGAAGAAACCTGGAAGCACTGAAAGATGGCCGTTTCGTCCTGGTATGGGACTCCTCAGCAGTGCGCATCCACGACCCCTTCACCCCGCAGGATTCGAACCCAGGGCCTTCGAGCGCCTAACCATCGGACCACTGAGCCGGTATCCAACAGTGTTAATGTCTAACTTGATCAATTCACGCACTGATGTGGAGTCCCATACCAGGAAGAAACAGCCGTCCAGTGCTTCCAGGTTTCTTCTAATGGTGGTCTAACATTGATGGATTCATGGTTTCAATAATAGAATTCTCAAAATATCAATATTCATTTCATTTCAGCGTACTTTTAATCGAAGACAGAAAATCACATCATACACACTTATACATGCAGAAACAGAATGTTTTTATTTGATTCACTGTCAAAAGATTGATTAAAATCATGAATCAATTATTGTTAGACTACTATTAGAAACCCGAAAGCACTGGGATGGGACTTAACGTGGGAGGCGTGCATCCACAACTACCGCTAATCACAGAATTCGAACGTCAGACCTTCGGTTTTGATGATAATATCAACATTTCGATGAAGTTTGTATATATAAGACACTTCATAAACGTTGTTAGTTAGACGTCGTCAGCCAGAACTTATTGTGGAAGAGAATAAATCAGCTTATTCAATTAGCTGGTATAATCGTGTTAACATTTCTGTGAGGATTGATATTCACTTTAAGGAGAAAAAGAAACATTTGAGCGCAATATGTGGTTTTGGTATCCACAAAAATCTTTATTTGAATGAAACTGAAATGAAATCGATTAGGAGTTGTTGAAATAAGTAGTTACATGTCTTATTTGTAACCAAGAGTTGATCAACGTTAGACCACCATTAGAAACCTAGAAGCACTGGACGGCCATTTCGTCCTGGATGGGACTCATCAGTAGTATGCATCCACGACTCCTGCACCCCAGAGGATTCGACCTCAGTACCTTCGGTATTGTGCGCGAACGCCTAACCATCGGACCACTGAGCCGGTATCTAAAGGTGTTAATGTCTAACTTGATCAATTCACGGAGTTGCGCAACCTCATACCCTGTATACATCCGTCAAACATTTTTCAAAATCTGATATCATCAAATAAGTAAATAAATACTTAAAATAACTAGTTTTGTAAGTCTTCAACATGGATACTGGACACAGTGTAGCTGAAGGCGCCCGGTCAAGTATCCGTACCGAATCACTGTTGAGTATATCGGGCTCTCTCAATCAACCCCCCAACATCACAACCATCTTTAAAAATCAACCTCTAACTATAATTTTATCGGTTGAAACATATTTTACAAAGACAACTATTTTGAACCTATAATTTTTACGCTAGGTTGTTTTATGATTGACTATTGTTAAAGTCTTATCATGTTGAATGTAAATTACACATTTTTGAAACCATGAATCGATCAATGTTAGACCACTATTAGAAACCTGGAAGCACTGAAAGACGGCCGTTCCGTCCTGGTATGAGACTTATCATTGGCAGTTCGCACCCACGACTCCCGCTAATCGGGTGTAGACAGTAACTACCGAAGACTGTGTATGAGGTTGCGTAACTCCGTGAATTGATCAAGTTAGACATTAACACCGTTAGATACCGGCTCAGCGGTCCGATGGTTAGGCGCTCGCGCACAATACCGAAGGTCCTGGGTTCGAATCCTGCGAAGTGCAGGATTTGTGGATGCGCACTGCTACTGATGAGTCCCATACCATGACTAAACGGCCGTCTTTCAGTGCTTCTAGGTTTCTAATGGTGGTCTAACATTGATCGATTCATGGTTTCAAAAATGTGTAACTTAACAATCTTCATAACCCCGTAATGCGAATGTAAATTAATCAAATACTTGCACCTGCTACGCCTCATATAGTATAGGCCGTCAACTGGCATTCTCCAACAATCATCTTTCGGGTCAACCTTCAATCATCGTCAATTTGTGACTTCTGGTTTGACTAAGTTTCAGGTATTCCTCGATTAGAAGAAGTGTATCACGGATAAGAATGCGTTTTCAAACTCTGAATATTCCATGAGATCTCCAAAGTTATCATAGTGAATAATCATAAACCTCTTTTTTATCCAATCCAAAGCGTAACTGTTAAAACTTATAATCGAAAAAATTATCAAACCGTTTATATGACATATTTTTCTGAAGAAATCATGATAGAGAATTTTTTTATTTGAGAAATATCAGTTTTAAACTAGTAATCGCACTGTCTAGATAGTCTAATAAATTATGTTTCTATTTGTGTAAGAAGTCGACGAGTTTTGTAGACGTGATATTCTGAGTTTTGATTTATTTTCAGTCAGAATATCGAATCACCTTTCAAAATCTTTTATTCGATTTTAGATGTTTGTGTTATGCTTCATCTGGAAATAGTCAGTAAAGTGTGATCGAGATTTTTGATTCAGCTTAAGTGTTGGTCGGTAGCTTGTAAGAAAAACGATTTTACGGGGATATACATTCGATCTCTGAACAACTTTTATCAAAGGCAGATATTCAAAGAATTGGTAGCTCTATGCTAGCCAGTACCTCTCAGTGTCTTTGAGTAGACAGTATAGTTAGACTTGTGTTGGCGATGTTAGATCCCCAAAACTCGTTTGATAAATGCCTTATTTTGGATTTCACGTTTGCTAGCATGGGCTGATCAGTTGACCTTGAGATTTCATTTCTCATCAGGAAAATCCTTGGCTCTGATTGGCTGCTGTGTCATTTTAGTGTGCTGTTTTCGTAACTGTCCCACTAGGACGTTTCTATGATGTATGAATAAACGAGAGTTGTGTGCTTGATTGCATTGTGATTGCTGGGTTTTTGTAGAATATACTTTCTACGCTTATCAAGACTTCTGTTTTACAGTTTGGGATTCAAGTTAACCTACCTGGACGCTGGTAGTTGTCTCGTTCGCGTTTATCGACTAAGATGAACTCGTAATAGCCTCAAGCGTACCTAGTGACGAACATATCAACTTGTCAGCAGCTTGATTCCAGCCGATTCAATACAAACAGGTCATGCAACAAAAGTAGAGCACGTTCAGATCACATTAATCAATGATTGTTAGATCACCATTAGGAACGTGGAAGCACTGGACAGCCGTTCGTCTTGGTATAAAACTCATCAGCAGTGAGCATCCACAAATTCTGCTACTCTCGGGATTCGAATCTACCACCTACGGTCTTGTAAGCCAAAATCTAACATCTGGACCACTGGGTCAATATCCCACGTTGTTAATGTCTATGAATCAACTGTAGTGGCGCAGGGTTTGACTTCAATTTTCGGTCAGTCAGCCAGTCAACTACAATGTAGAATGTGCTACTTACGTGTGTACATCAGTTCAAGTTGGCATACCAAAAAATCGGATGCAGAGAGATGAACTTGTCAATTCAGATCCCAGAGAATTAAAAATTGTCGCACTATTAGTAGTAATAGAAAAGATTCGATTTCGAAGATCTGATTCAAGAGTTAAAAAGAAACACCGATTTCGACGAACGATTCTGTGAAATAAATCTCCACTTTTATTCATGTATATCATTTCTTAGGAAGAGTCTATTTGTTCAACGGTGATAAAAAAACACCAATGCGGCTTTATTTGGATGAATTGATTTCATTCACCCGCTTGCGGAGACAAAAATGAAGATGAGAAGGTGAAGCGTAACTTAATATACATGAACTAATTGATTTTTACTGGTTAGCATTTTTCTGCTTGACAGGGTAGCCAACCTCAATCCCAACCTTCCTCTCTTATCCCGTCTTGGGACCGGCAGTAGACTTTGATGGGCTCTCCAGGTGCATAAGACTTGTCGACGGCCTATGCTTCATTGAAGGGTAACAGGCTTAAGTAAGTATTAACATAAACTAAACACGTGATAAACGAAGCGAACAATGCACTCAAACACTCAATTCAAAACAACCAACATTTTAAGCTAGTGAATTGACAAGCTCAAACAATATGGGAATAATAACTCCAGTTTAGTTTATTCAAAGTCTGGGACAAGCCAATATGAACTCGACATAACAGTGCAAACACTACACTACACTATACTAATCATTCATTGACCTCTCGTTTCTATTCACCTAATGATTACGCAAAAAACTTCGTCTCCACTTAATCCATATCACAGTCAGTCAAGTGATCTTGTTCCTCCATATAAAACAGTTATTTTAAATTTATGTACATGACTGTACACGCATAACAACGTAGTGATTTGTAGATCCGAAGCCGCTATCTTGACTGTCATGATGACCTAACCGAACAGTATTGACTACAACTCCTGTTCCTTTAAGTACACCTACCATGCCAGACAGGTTGATTGAGGAACGGTAAGGTGTGAGAGTGAAGCCGCATTGCTTACTTTAGAGTAGTATGACAGCATTCAAGTGTTTCCCTTGGACAACTAGCATCTATATAGTGGTGCTGCATTCTCACAAACGGAAGAAATCGGTCAACATTTATTTCATAAAGTCGATTAGATGTGTCATCAATATGTGACAGAGTCATTTTGAAATAAAACTTCATCTCATCTTATGCTTATCTGCAATATAGTTGTAAGTTGACAGAATCATCTCTCTCTCTCTCTCATGCGATAACAATGACAACAAGTTCTGAATAGAAGAAAACCAATCATTAAAGAGTATGTTTCTTTTTTATTTTCATAAGAAAAATTTCAACAAACAATGAAAAATAGATTACATTAATATTGGAAAACTGGCATTTGTTGCAACACCACACATGTTATGTTTGTTCCGTCGTATTTTCACATAACCATGCATACCCCATTCACTACTCCAACTATTCTTGATAAGCCAATAATCTTTACCACGTTCTCGTCCATATCCAACAGCTAATACACCATGATTCAATAGGATCGATGAACATCGCCATGAATCGTATACTCCACTCCTGAAATAATTCAATGTTGTTGTAATTAGAAAGGATTAGGAATACAAAGTTAAAAACGAAAAACTAATGAGTTAAAATTTATCTGGTGTATTTCAAGTTTCATGATTTGTTGACTTAATTATTGAATACGATTGCATACATAGTAGTTGGAGTAGTATTAGTCAGAGTAGTAGTAGTAGTGTGAGTAGTAGTAGTAGTCTGAGTAGTAGTGGTAGTAGTAGTAATAGTAGTAGACGGAGTAGTCGGAGTAGTAGTAGTAGTACTGAGGTGCGCGCTACTTATAAGTAGTATATGACGCGAGTGTAAACGTAATGTCTGGCAGCAGAAGATTGGGGAAGATCAAGAAAGGAAGAGTGGGAACACAATGGAATTTGTATGAAAAGCATGAGTAGTGAATTGTCAGACAATGGATTGATGATGGATTGAAGATTTGCAAATTAACCGTTTACGATATGGTTTACATATTTTGCTGATTAGCTCTGCAGTTTGCGAAAAATACAATTCGGTTGCCCTCACCTGTGTTCTCCTTCACCACAGTAGTGGTATTAGTAGTAGCAGTAGTAGTGATAATAGTAGTGAAACTCTAGTCTGTTCAAGTGAAATCTCATCTTGCGTAAATGGTATTTAGTTCACACGAATAAAAGTACAAGGAGAAGAAGGAACAATTCAACTTACTTGTACAAGACAAAATTGTCTGATGCATCGATAGCGACTGAAATTGGTCCATATTGATAAAGAGCTTGTTGTAGTTTCTTTTCATTCCCAGAGGGTAAATCAATAAATTTCTTGACTTTCACAACACCTTTTGATCTACGAAAACGACATGATAATTCCTAGGCAAAAGAAAAACAACAGATTGAACATTTCACGAATATGATATCAGAACACAAATTTGGTGTTATTTCGATAGATAGATAGATAGATAGATGTGTGGATAGATAGATAGATAGATAGATAGATAGATAGATAGATAGATAGATAGATAGATAGATAGATAGATAGATAGATAGATAGATAGATAGATAGATAGATAGATAGATAGATAGATAGATAGATAGATAGATAGATAGATAGATAGATAGATAGATAGATAGATAGATAGATAGATAGATAGATAGATAGATAGATAGATAGATAGATAGATAGATAGATAGATAGATAGATAGATAGATAGATAGATGTGTGGATAGATAGATAGATAAATACAACATCAAAACTTACACGACCAACGTATTTATAATCTTTCTCCGATTCAATTGGATATTTGTGAACATAACTGAAGGCTTGATCCATTGTACCACCCTCACATCCTTCATTTCCAAAATCCGAACTACAATCAATCAACTGTTGTTCGGACAGACTCATCAACTTCTTATGCTTTTTGACCAGTTGACCTTCAATCGCTCCAGCTGCTGAGAATGCCCAACACGATCCACATTTACCCTGAAATCAATGCGATCCCGCATAGAATACACAACACAACACAACACATTACCTGATCTTTCACTGAAGTAACAACACCATGATCACGCCAATCCCATTTGGAGGGCAATGGTTTATTAGACCAGTGTAATTCTTCACTTTTCTTATCATCCCATAGTGGATCGATGCCAAGTACTTTAGAGAATAGCGCTGCTTTCACTTCCACCTCATCCATATCACAAAATTGATTTAAACCCATAGTGTAACTTTCTAAGCCTAAATCATGTCTTAGATTGTGTTGTTGAATTTTCTGCACTCGTTTCATGAAAATTGCTTGTCGTTTAATTTCTTCATTGATAGGATAAGTTTTATTGAATTTCAATTTCCATTGTGTCCATATTTCCTCATATTGTTTGTTGAAATGTTGTGCACTACTGACAATGGTAGTAGTTGTAGTAGTACTAATCACAATAATACAGGCTAGTACCAACAACTTCATTCTGACTGTGTCACATATGCTGAACTAGTGGGAATAAATACTATTTTCCATTGAGTCACATACATACTGAACTTTAATCCCATCATACCATCTGCTGTGTACTGCTGATAGTTTGTAATTTTTTGAAAAAACAAATGATCATTCATTCGACGTGACTGATACTTTAAAACCACTTGAACAGTGATAATTGCGTCAATTATTGATAGTGTTATTTTGTGTTGATTTTATTGCGGATTTGTTATGTAGGCTGGCATTATAGTTTTTGTATCAGTTACCACCTAATCATTAAATTTCATTTCAACACGATTAAAAATTAAAGTTCAATCAGAACAGATTAATATTTTTACACATTTAAAATCATCAATCAATCAATCATTGTTAGACCACGATTAAAAATCTGAAAACAGTGAAAGAAGGCCGTTTCGTCCCGGTATGGTACTCATCAGTGGCAGTGAGCATCCACGACTCCAGCACCTGTCGTTTTTTACACCTTTGGTTTGTACCTTTAAGGTTAGCAGCAACCAATCAAGATCGACGTTAACAGATCAAGCTACGGGTTAAACATGGAGAAATTCGAATACTTCACTTCTACTATCTGAAGTTTGTGCTGCTGATGATGATGTTATTCAGTAGAAGAACAATGATGAAACCTCCACAACCAAAACATCCAGCCAGCTCAGAGAACCAAACACCACCACCACAATCATGTCTACCTGAGTTGCGAATTTTCTCCAACATCTCAAGTGAAAATGTTATTTGCTTGAACATGTTTGTAAGTGATAAGTTAGTTGATTGAATGGAAATAATCTTGTTCACTCAGAACAAAAATATGCAAACATTTGTAGTGTTGAAATTGTAGCGATGTAGGTTGACATTTTTTGTTTCTATCAGTTACCGAATCATTATCTTGCATTTCAAGGCGATTGAAAACTAAGGTTGTACCAAACGGTAAGTTGATTAACTTTTTACTAATAGATTGATAGTTTGAAGACTGTTTCATCGGTCGATATGCTTGAAACTATTACAAATTCATCTTAGTCGATAAACGAGATCGAGATAATGAACCAGTGACACAATAGGCTACTCTGAACCATTGCTCCAACTAAATGAAGAAAGAAATCTTCATATGGCATGGAAAGTGTACTCTGCAAGCATCCAGAAAAATACAATGATCTCAAGCACACAAATCATAGAAAAGTCCTTGGGAGAGTCACAAAAATAACGTACTAAAATAACACACCAACCAATCACAGCCAAGGATCTTCCAGGTGGGAAGTGTCAAGATCAACTGATCAGCCAATGAACAAAATCCGAAATTAAGGCCTATACCAAGTGAGTTCTAACAATGATTGATTGATGATTTCAAATTTGTTCATAATGTAAATGAATTTTGAATGACTGTCTTTACAGTATTTTTTTTGAAAAAAATGTTATTTACTTGCTGACTTTGAGATAGTACATCGAGAGGACTGTGTTCTTATGTAACGATACAATTCATGTCATTGAGATTCGTAGCCGTTATCTTGACTACCGTGATGACCTCCTACCATGCCACACAGGTTGATTGAGGAACGGTAAGGTGTGAGAATGAAGCCGCATTGCTTACTTTAGAGTAGTATGACAGCATTCAAGTGTTTCCCTCGGACAACCAGCATCTATATAGCGGTGCTGCATTCTCAGAATAGGCCAACCTTATTTCAGAAAGTCGATTAGATGTGTAATCAATATGTGACAGAGTCGTTTTGATTTAGGAAACGAATGACATTCATTGCCTAACGAAATAAAACTTCATCTCATCTTATGCTAATCTGCAATATAGTTGTAGGTTGACAAAATCGTCGAGAACGATTGTATGAATGTTGCTTCTCTCTCTATCTCTATCTCTGGTTTATACATTTCATGCAATGATAGACAGACAGACAGATACAACGCAGAAGTTCGTACTCAGGTACATCAGTTCAGGTTGCCATACCACATCAGCACATAGATGCAACTGTCAGTTCAAATCTAAGAGTGATAAGAATAACAGAAGGAGTAGCAATAATGGAGAAGATTAGGAAGCGAAGATATGATTCGAAAATAATTATTCAGTGAGATAAATCTAGAAGGATAAAGGTAGAGATGATGAGGAATTCAGATGTTTTAGAATTAGAGAGAACACAAACAGTGGACGCACCTGAGCCATTGTAAACGATTCTGAACCATGTCGTTCAAGGTCTCTAACCATCGGTGACTTTCGTCTCGCGGAACCCAACCACGTAGCCTACATCTACCAATATGAATCAGCTCACTTGTCAGTGACTTCATGGATTTGTGCCATGTTTTGGTTTGAGCGCGCCTAGCTTTCTTCCAACCTACTCCTACATCACAAAACATCGCTCTTCGAGAAAGTCGGTGGTTGGGCATTCGTAAAACATGTCCCAACCACCTCAACTGATAAAGATTCACTACTTCATCTAATGATTTGCCATCCATTCCTAGAACTCGTTTCCTAACGACAGCATTTCATGTGACGACAATAACAACAAGTTCTGATTAAATGAAAACAATCGTTAAACAGTAAGTTTATTTTTACTTTTTTCAGAAAAGTTTCAAATCCAAACAACACAATCAAAAATAGATTACATTAATATTGGAAAACTGGCATTTGTTGCAACACCACACATATTATAATAGTTCCGGCGTAATTTCACATAACCATGCATACCCCATTGACTACTCCAACTATTCTTAATAAGCCAATAATCTTTACCACGTTCTCGTCCATATCCAACAGCTAATACACCATGATTCAATAGGATCGATGAACATTGCCATGAATCGTATACTCCTTCCCTGAAATAAATCAATGTTGGTGTAATTAGAAAGGATTAGGAATACGAGGTTAGAAACAACATGTAAATGAATTAAAATTTATCTATCCTATTTTACTGAGTAACTCTGAAATTTTCGCTAAATACAACTCGGTTGCCCTCACCTGTGTTCTCCTTCACTTCATTTGGTGTCTCTGCCTACAAAAAGGATGAAGATTCCATGGCCGAAGGAGTTTGAGGACGGAGATGTGCGGAGCTTCCTGGAAGATTTTGAGGCCGTGGCGGAGCTGGTGGATGTGAAGAAGCCGAGGGCGAATTTGGTGGTGCTGGGAACGCTGCTGAGAGGAAGGGAAAAGGCCGTATATGACAGCTTGGATGGTGCTGGCGAGGAGTGGACGTGGGAGACGGTCACCGGGCGGCTGATGACGGTGTTCGACAGCCCAGTGGACAGGGAGAAAGCGCTTCAGGAGTTCCGGTTGGCGAGGCTGATGGTGACCCGCTGGTGCTTGCTGTGGAGCTCACCAGGTTTTTGCGCCGTTCACTGCCGAGTATCGATGGGGAGTCGGAGGAACAGTTGTTTACGTCGCAGTTTATAGAGAGCATGCTTGCCGCCTTGTCCCAGCAGCTGATACTAGTAAACGCAGCGCGACCTATGGGTATCGGTGGACTGGCGAAGGTGACTCGTCAGCTGATGACATGAACAGTAGCTCCGGCCAGGTGTGGAAAGCAGAAGATGAATACCGTCGAGAAGAAGATTGAGGAGCTGGAGAGTAAGGTTGCAGCAATACGAGTGGATCATAAAAGGAACGATAAATGTTACGCTTGTGGAGGGACAGGACATTGGAAGATAAACCGTCCAAGAAGACGACGACGATGATATTTCAGACATTACGTGTGTTCTTTCCGCCCTAGGAATCTGGAGGTTCTTGCACTAGTAGATAGAGGGGCAATTAATGCCAGAGTGTACATAAATGAACAGGAGTTAGTGTGTTTGGTCGATACAGGGGCAGCTATTTCGTTAATAGGCAAAGAGCAATGTAAGACAATCAAACCATGTACATTAGCTGTCCACACCATAGGAGGGCATATGCTAGAGGGGTTGTAAAACTGTAGTGAAGGAGAACACAGGTGAGGGCAACCGAATTGTATTTATCGCAAATTACAGAGTTACTCAGTAAAAGAGGAAAACCATATCGTAAATCGTTAATTTGCAAATCTTCAATCCATCATCAATTCATTGTCTGACATTTCACTATTCATGCGTTTCATACAAATTCCATTGTGTTCCCACTCTTCCTTTTTTGATCTTCCCCATCACTCGCGTCATATACTACTTATAAGTGTGGTGTGTGCTACTTATACGAACGATATAAGTAGTATGAGAAGGGACATGAAAGAAGAAGTCTCACGGTCAGAAGAGGAAAACGGAAAGCGAATGGAGCAAAAGCAAGAAATAAATGGAGTACCAACAGGAAGTAAAGGAAGCAACAACAGGAATGGAAGAAGGATGGAGTGTTGGAAGTCACGACTGAAAGATGGTGTGCAAATAGAGTGGTGTTCAATGTAATGTTGTCGTTTTTAATTGACTCAGAGTGTAAATTTGCATCATACAATCTTCAGCGCCTGCCTTAGTCTTCTCAATCGGTGTCGCTGCCAGGATTTTTAACACGTGGCTTCTGATGGTGTTGACAATTAATGCACTCGGCCTGATACTTCTACACCGCTCTTTGTCTATTAACGAAACTGCCGCCTCTGTATCAATCAGGCAAACTAACTGTCGCTCGTTTATCCCTACTCTCGCATAGACCGCCCCACTATCTACTACTGCCGCGACCCCCAGTTTCATAAGACATTAAGAACAACATGCATATGATCTAAAATGTTTACGTTTTCGTCTTGTTGGGCAATTCCTCTTCCAATGTCCGGTTCGTCCGCAAATATAGCATTTATCATTTCTTCCACCCTTTATTCGTAACGCTGGCACCTCGCGTTGTAATTCTTCTACCTTCTTCGTGACATCATCAGCCTGTATTGTTTCTTTAGCCAGCACGGTGACGTCCATTGGTTGTGCCGCGTTCACCAATATCAACTGTTGGGCAACCTCTGCAGACACACTTTCAATGAATGGCGACACTAGCAGCTGTGCTTGCGACTCCTCAACCAAATTCGGCAGACCCCGGCGCGGCAATCGTGTCAGCTCCACAGCCAGCACGAGTGGGTCGCGATCCACCGTCAGTCGCGCCTCTCGGAACTTCTGCAGCGCGTCCTGCCTATCCGCCGGGCTGTCGAACTCCAACAGCAGCCTTTCCGTCACCGCCGTCCAGTCAGCGTCCTCCACACTATCGTACACCGCTCTCGCCCTGCCTCTTAGTAGAGTCCCCAGCACCACCGCCTTCGCCTTCCGTTCCTTGACTCCGACCAGCTCCGCCACAGCCTCGAACTCCTTCAAGAAGCTCCTTACATCTCCGTCTTCAAACTCCCGAGGCCATGGT